TGATGTGATTTAATTCAGAAAAGAAGGCAAAAATAGAACTGAGTTAAAAAAAAGAAGGATTAAGTTCTGAGTTGTGTTCCATATAGTTAGAAAGGCGTCTTAGTAGCCCAGAAGAAAAACATGCACTAGTACTCTGACCGAGATATGCACATTAGAATTATCTAAACATACGGGTTTTTGAAGAGGAAATAACGGTGAGCAGAGAAGAAATTAAGTGAAAATATAAGGTGGAAAATAAATAAAAAATAAGTAGTCTAAACATGATAAAAAGAAGTTAAGTCATAGAAGTTTAGATAGAGTCAATGAAAGAAGTGGATAAATGTTAGCTAGGGATGAGATGGAATTGGAGTAATTCTAGCTAGCATTACAAACCAGCATGATTAACAAGAAATAAGAAAAGGGCTTACTCAGCATCGTTCTAAGAAGCTTAAGTGAGGGAAACAGAATGTATGGAATCTGGACCTGGTAGACCTAACTATAGACCAGAGGCAAATAAAGATACAAAATCCCTAACAAAGTGTAAAGTTGGAGCTTTAATAGGTAAAGTTTCTTAGGCACCCTAGAAAATTGAACGTAATAGCAAAAACTCTTGAGCAATCACATAAAAGGTAGGCAGATAAGATCCAGATGTAAAAAATTCAGTAAAAAAGAAAGACAAGACAAAGTTGACATGAGACAAATATTCATATAGAGCTAATGCAAATAGCTTGCAAGAATTAGACATTTGGAGATCGTTGCTTTAGGAATCACAGCCATCCTCGATCATTTCCTGGCCATTTAGGACTACAGACGAACTAGCTATTGTCAAATTTACCTCAGAGGATTCGGGAGCTGGCTCAAAACTGAAGATTACATTAAACAGTTGGCCACCCAGGCGATTGGCCAGCCAAGCATTTTTTAATACAGCCACTTTTAGACAATCAACGGAAAACCGGGCGTATAAATTAGTCTGCACAGCACGGCCCATACCGATTAGCACAATGAGGTCTACCTAAAAGGGTTTTGCATGTAAAATTTAGTTTAAAATGATTAACTGCATAAATTTCTTCAAATATCTTCCTTTTCTCTTAAAACTATGCTGCTGGTATAAGACAACTTAGCCAAGGATACAAAAGAGAGCCGTTAAATTGTTGAGTTAGAGATAAATCTTAAAAGGCTTTGAAAATATTATTAAAATTCCCAAATATAATATTAGGGTATATATGTGTGTAACGCGCCTAGTCTTGTGTTTAATGGCATATTATTCGTGATTTCCAGCGTTCGACCATTGGCCGGGTACATTCCCAAACGTTTAGCCGGCGTCATCAGTGAGGGGCGCCATCGTAAGCACAGAATTACAACTTATTAGTGTCAAGTGAACGGAATCTCCTTAACCAATTTTATGTTCAACTGTTGTGGCCTTCACTTGTCACTTTGATAGCATAATGCAAATAGATGTCTCAAAATAAAGCAAGCAAAATATTTTGATTAGAGTTGGTAATCTACTTTTAAAAATCTCATGGATATTCATTAAGCAGGAATTATAATAGAATTTAATAAAATCAATGAAGGAATTCTGCTAGTGCAACTTGGCCCAACACATCTATGCTGGTGAACTTCTGGGGAGTCGATATGGGTATTCGATAATTTGATTAGTAAGATAAAAGAACTAACTTCAAAATTAGACATAGGACAAATAAAGCAAATAATGTAAATGATATACCTCAGCTATACTATCTATGTCAAGTATATTAGTTCGATTTCATTATTATTGTTAGAAAAAAATATGGATATCTAATACAAAAAATTCCAGGCCGATGGATATTTAGAAGTGGGCTGGTCTCGTTTAAACAACTTACCAGTGTTGTCAGGGCGACTTAGTTGGACGCACCTTTCCCCAAGATTTATACTATAGTAATCATAATTCCCAGCGTCAAACAGCGGACTTGGTACCTTCCCAGACGTATCGCCGGCATTGTCGGTAAACCTTATGATTCTCAACATTAAGCTACACCCCGTCAAATAGACAAGTGAAGTCAATTCCTTGACGTATCCCCTGTTCGTCTGCTGCGTTTCAAAAAGATTTATAGTCAATTTTGCTAGTATCTAATTTCCGTTAAGGTTGTGATTACGTGACAACAAGACCCCCAAAGTTATACTTGTTTCCTCGAGCCGAACACACTCACTGAAAACGCTTTCGCTTGATTTCCAAAACTTCCCCACTCACCTTATCCTTACGATCCCAGTTCCTCTGTTCAATTATAGATCCTTGATCCAGTAGTCTCCTTTTTGCTGGTCCAGTAACATCCCTGTTTTCTCCGTGTTTACTTAAGCAATAGGCAAAGTATAGAAGTTATTTGAACTC